ATGTTGACAAAACTATGATTTAAAAGCCCATTTAATTGGACTATTAGTATAGAAATAGTTATTTTATATCGGTTCATTTCAAATTTAGATCATGTTCATTGTAATTCCAATATATTTACATTTCATTATTATTTAGGACACTGGACACAGTTATTTTAATGTTACCATATTTGTTTATTGCTAAAAGTGAAAATTGTTTACTATCCTTTTTATATACCATAAGTGTTACTTTTTTTTTGTGTATAATAAAACATAAATTAATTTACATTGTTAATTGATTGTTTACATTCTATCTTACTTACAACAGTACCTATACAAGACTTAACACTTTCTTAAATAAATACATTTTAAATACTTTGGAAAATGTGGTAGTTTAAACATACAGGATGTTCCTCATATCCACATTCCTAATACGGTTTTCCAGATTTTTCCAGATGTTCCACAAGGGTCTACCTTAGGACCCAAAGAGAATAAAACTGTTTTGTCTCTTTTTCAAGTATTTTCTGCCAAAATAAGTTTCCTAAAAGCGAATTTTCGACTTGTTATTGAAATTGATTTACATGGCAAGCGAGCGAGCAAATACAACTCATTGTTTACTCACAATCAGTAATACGGCACGTGATAGCTCGAGCTCGGTTTTACAAATACATTAATTAGGAAATAGATAAACTTATAAATAAAAATAGTTTGCAGGAAAATCACGCGTACTACGTCGCATGGTACGGACTAAGCCTGATAACACAGGATATTACTGTCACGATACTTATAAAAATATTTATATCTATTTATGTACAGTCAGGGCCGGACTGGCGACAGAGAATTTTCCTTCCGTGGTGCTCCCCAGAAGTGAGCAAGGACGAAAACCCAATAATAGTCCGCACAGTGTTGCCAAACTTGACAAAATTCGTCATGCTAGATAATTTTAAAATGGTATAAGTCCACTAATAGCAGCTAGTCCAAGGAACGAAGAGGAAAATAGGGTGAAACCTCCGAATATTTTCGGATATATTCGATTTTTATAAAAAAATTGGAATTAAGCTTATTTCACTCTTGATTCTCATTTTTAGGGGATGAAAACCACTCCTTATGCTAAAAAACTGAATAAATATAAAAATAAGTGTTATAGGCTAAAATCATAGCTTAATATATAGAATAAATATTGTTTTATATTGTGGGTTAAGTATAATTTACATTATTTTTATAAAGTTTCAACCCTTAAGAACCACCCTTAATGATAAAAACATAAAATTAATAGTTTCCTTGGCTTTAAAATATTTTTATAGCACATATATTATAAACAGAAATCTTTTCACTAGTTTATAGTGTTATAAATAATCTATTACAATATTTCAAGCCTTAAAAAACTACCCCTAATAACCAAATATTAAAAAAATAGCTTTTAACAGTAACATTTGATAATACAAACAGGATAAATTAAACTCTTTTACCTGTCTATAATACAATTTATAATTTATCGCATTGTTTTAACCCTTTAAAACCACCCCCATATTTTTTATAGCGTTGTTTTTGAGATTTTTGAGATTAAAGGGTTTCACAAATATGACCTTCGCCATCAACTGCAAACTTCTAGCAGCGACATCTCTTAATTTTTATCCTACACAATTAAAAAAAAAACTAAATATTCTGTGAAAAAAATCTAAACTTTTGTACTCTTGAGTAGGTATTTTTCGTAACTTTTTTATTTTTAAAGTTATTTTCAAAAATATGTAATTTTTTTGGAATTAAATTTTTTTTTCAATCAAAAACGTAATATTTTCAAATACATGCATTCTAAACCGCTTAAACTTGTATAATATATTGTTAGCACATAAAAAATGTAAATTGTAGAAGGATTACCTTTAATTTTAAATCTCGTGAAAAATTCATCAGTTTTTGTACTGATTTTTTTTCCCGAAACAGCGAATTAACAGTTTGATTTTGATCATAACTCTGTTAATTTTTATGCTAATGACTTAAAGTCAAGTTAATTTTAAAGATTTTTTAAAGTACTTTAAAAAATGTTCTGTGCATTTTTCTTGAAAACTGGAATTTTTTTAGTTATTTTACGTTAAATGCTGCCAAGTTAGTTTTTGGCGGACAAGAACTTTTCTTCAACCACCCGTGTCTCAGCATCTATTGCATCTACATAAATGAAAAAACTCAATCTGTTTCTTTTTCTATAAGCTTCATTTTCTTTGGGATGTTTTTTTAATAGAATGCCTACTTTCCGAGTTATTCGTCTTTTTTAATAAAAAATGTCCATTTTCAATCATCAATAACTCCACCAAAATATTGACTTACGAAAAATGTTCATAAGCTAATTTTTGCTTAAAATTGATTACTTTATCGATTCCTGGGGTTATTTTTAATATTTTATTTTTCACCCCCTAGAAGGGGTGGTTTCCACCCCCGGACGAAAGCACTCATAGGCACTATATAGCTGTTGTTTCTTGAGCTATTTTCTACTTACAATCAAAGTTTCACTTCAATCGGAAACCCTTGGTTCTCTAAGCATAACCTTTAAAAAATGGCGCCCAACTCTGTCTCCATCCTTATTTTAAATGTCTTCACATCACCATTTCTTAAGCACTTATCTAGCAAGCAACACTGCGCCAGTACAGCAACATAGACAACAGAGTGATGTTTGTCCAAACAGAATTCAATCTCGAAAAACATATTTTGTAACTTAGTAGCTATATATTTGTTTAAATGTTTGTCGATTGTAAAGAACTGTGGGGTATTTTTATAACATGTTGTTCCTTTATCTTCCACACGAGTCGGTGAACCGACAGGCAAGTGATAAGTCCTAAGGTAATTACAGGACAGACTTGCATCCAATTGTTGAACTTGGTTATCTGGTTGTTGTCGAGTCTTGGGTGGTGCGGTGGAAAAATTTCACATTTGCGTATTAAAGGTTGAATAATTCGAAACTGATAGGATAAAACGACTTTTAAATCTTTCCCAATGACCCTTCCTTTCTCTGGAATAAATTTTATTTTTCCTTTTTAAGGAAACGAGATCGAAATTTGGAGCTAAAAAGTTGCTGCAATTTTGTATCAAATTTACAACAACCAGTTCAATACCAGTACGGTTTCTTGGAAATTTACTAATAACTCACTAACATTTTACTTAACAAATAATTTAATATCTAAATATGTTATCTTTCATATTTTCCGGAAAGTGTATCTTTCCGAAATGTATATTTATAACTAGAGATTAGAATAAACTTACCAGTGTCTCATTTCGGGCATTCGACATAGAAATTAAAGTTTTTGATAAAAATACCCAATACGGCAGCTGTAAGAGTTGATTTCTTTAATGTTAATGCATTTGACTATCAATATGTATTTTACTCTGACAGTCCAACCAACTCGCTCCACAAATCTTTTGTCTATGCAAACAGTAATAAATTAATTTCTTATAATTTTAATTAAAGAAAGTTTTTTCCTCTCACATAAATAATATTCAATTTAGAGCTTGAAATTGACCAATACTTCATTTTTTCCTTGTCCACTGCATTCTGATAAATGATTATTTTTTTTTAGTACCATTTACCAAAGAACTTTCTTTGACTTCATATCATCTGATTCCCAGGAAAATCATGTCCTCTCAAATACTAAGCATCAACAAGAACGCTCTTAATTTTCTTGAATCGGCAATGACGTAGGAAAAGGCAATTTAAATGCAATTATATCGCACTTATCACAAACCGTTAAATATCAAATAAAAATTATTTGCGTTCCATAAATCAACATCTGTTTCTATGAAAGAGGATACCTTGATGGCGTAAGTGAAAGGGTAATAAAAAAACAACAACGCAGAAAGAGCTGCCCACATATCAAATCTTTTACAGAATGAGAACTATCAAAATATATCGGAAACACACGTTTATAGTTATTCAAAATCTCCTAATTCGTAAACGTGATGATGTACGTGCGAGAACAAGGGAAAACTAAATTTACGGTACCTTAAGGATGGCATAATGTAAGCCGAAATATCGACTAAAGTGACATGTATATCTTCGATTGTTTTTATGTTCAATAAGGCAAATTATTTAAAAAAACTGTATTTAATGGTCCTACTTGAAATATGAATGTATGAAATCAGTTGTTCTTATTATCTGTCACATATGACGTACGAAAAGGTGGCCAGAAATTCAATTGTTACGCAGAATTACTTTTATTTTTTATAGAAATCATATTTCAGATGTTTTAAAAGCATTTTTAACGAGTAGACATCTATTTGACCACGTTTTGACCAAAACGGTCCCTTTCAGACGTCGTTCTGACGAAGTTTCGTGTAACTTGTGAAATAACGTCTTCATGTCACTTTTGGAGAAAACGTTTAGATATCCCAATGCCGTAGTTTGTAATGAGATGTGTTCAAAGGAATTTTAACAAGAAATTGTAAAACAGACGTCTTTAAGACGCGTTTCTGACCAAATTTTGACCCTTTAGATCCTTTTGGAGAACACCATAGATGTCCCAATAACGCAGTGCTGTAATCGGATGTGTTCACATAAATTCTAACGAGAAATTGCGAAATAAACGTACTTAAGACGTATTTTTGACCAAATTTTGACCCATTTCGACCAAGTTTTATCTAATTTGTGACCCACAGTTAAAATTACTTCATATCCTTTTGGAGAACACCATAGATGTCCCGTGTAACTGCCAAAATAAGCATAAACCTTGAAGTGTCCAAAACAGACGTCGATTAGACGACTTTTAGGAAAGTTTTTCTTTTGGAAGCCTTCCTAAGGAATTTCAGTCTATTTTGGGATTCACTTGATAACCATAGAACAATAATTATCGCCCCTTGTTGAAGTTCTCAAGACACTGGTAACGGGAACCCAGTAACACCCTGTATAAAGCTACACACAACGATGTCCATAACTGACAGATCATCTCCAAGCAATTGCGTGCATACAGACCCATATCTGTATCTTGGAAAGTGGGTAAATCGCAATGGCGTACGTAAATAGGCAAGATCTAAGAAGAAATCAATCTGCAGCCGCCGAGACCACTCTTATCGGCTCTGGTAGTCGCGTACCAACAAGTAACAGCTCCATTCAGTGCTCATTTCGCGACTAGCCGCGATTCGAAGTGGTCGCGACACCGCAGCAGCCATTTCTTTTGAATCGGTGCCAGTAGATCCTGCGTTTAAAATAGTTTCTCTTGAACCGCCACAGGAAAACCTGCACCGACAATGGCGTTCTTCAAAACAATCTGGAAGGCCAACACCAAGCACCAGAGTGAGTACCTACTTTTTTTTTTCTTTGCCCGCGTCCGTCTGATGAAATCCGGGATGATATCCGTGAGGTTTTATTATTGTTATGTACATACCTATCCGATACAATAGATGAGCATTCTCGGCATTCCTTGGCTGGTGTTTTGGATTTGAATTGTTTCTTTGGGAGGTTAGAAGCGCGTTACCAGGAAGTTGCGTTGAATTTCTAATGTTGGATTATATGTCAATGTCGCCGAAACCATACCGCCGTGTTAATTGCAAAACTGGACCATTTTCTAAATGCCTGTGTTTGGTAAAAGGCGATTCAACTAATTTTCAATGACATTGTCAGGCGAGGACTTAGGATATAAAGATTATCTGACGTTTAAATAAAGTGATGATTTCTGATTTTTCAAAATCGATTTGAAACGCATTGTAGTTTACACAAACTTTTTATTTAGGTAAATGTAAAGATTGGCGAAATCTGACATTTAACAACAAAACAGCTCGCTATTTATCGCAACATTGAATCATGCCATACCATTCTCTTTACAAATTTTAGCACTTTTCTTCTAAACTAACGATAATCCAGTTCCAACTAGATTAAAAAAGCGACAACTGACGTAGTTGAACCAATGTATTGGGAATATGAGATTTACCTAGTGCAAAGTTCATTAAAAAAAATTAAGGAACACAACGAATCGGAAACTGTCTGCCGTTTGCTGGAAAATTATCCGAAAAATAGAGGCAGAAGTGCAAATTTTTACAAAATAGTGGACAGTTTCTGTCATTACAAATTTTGTCCTTAAAAACATAGATAGTAACAGTTTTACAGAGAACAAATAAACGTTTTACTATTTTTTAATACCCATACATAAATTTATAATTTGCTGATGATGATTTCGAACCAAAGAGACTAAAGTAATTATTAAATGTCAAAGTATCCTCACAACTTAGTGTAAATAATTTTTAATTGAGTTTACAGAAACGTTTTTATTATCAAGTAAAAGCGGAATATATTTAAAATTGTAATTCTTTTGTATGTACTTTCAAGTAAACAAGGTTTTCAACATTTAAGAGTTCAAAAACATTTTTTCCTAGAATTTTTCTGTGATTAAAGTAGGAATTTTGTTAAAGTCTCCATTGAAGCTTCGGAAAACAAACAATTTTTATTTCAACCCATGAAAAATGTCAAAAACTTGCCTGGATATTTATTTAATTTCATATTTTTTTTATTAACGTACTAGTATAAAGAAAATAATAAATTTGAACGAGATTAATATACATATAAGAGTAGTAACAAATAAACATAAAACAAAGTAACTTTGCTTCAGCTATCTGGTGTTTCCCAAGGATCAATATCAGGCCCTCTTCTGTTTATAATATTTATTAATGATATTGTCGAAGGTCTAAATTAAATAAAGCTAAAGTTATAAACAAGCATTATACCTCATTATTGAAAAGTTCTTTATTTGTCGCATAGTTTCATTTTTTCCTTATTTAGTCGATATTTTTTTTCAACTCTGAAAAAATTTAAAAATTGTTGTAGTACTCTTGCGTCGAAAGTATCGATCAAGTACTACAGTACTAATATTGTCTAAAGGTGGCAACTTTATCCTTAAACAGTTTGTTGAATATCTGCTTTTATGTAATTTCAGCATAAATGTCAGTAATAAATTTGGACGAGATTAATATACATATAACTTTAATTCGTACAAAACGGACATTCTTGATCAAAGAGGTCGGACAGATGGCAGTTTGTTGAATTTAAGGGTTTTAAATCAAACACTTTGCTTCAGCTATATGGTGTTTCCCTAGGATCAATATTAGGCCCTCTTCTGTTTATAATATACAGGGTGTTTCAGAAAGACCTCCCGTAAATACAGAGGCTGATAGTACGACAGAAAATAAGAATGTTTTGTTATATGAACTATATGTCTATCTCCTCTTGTTTTCGAGATACAGAGCGATAAAATAAAATTTTTTAAATAGAATTTTTCGAAAATTTCCAAACGGTGCGAAATATTTTTATGAAATTTGGTATTCCAGGATTTTTAAGGACGCCAAATACGCTGGTCAAATTATTTTTTTAATATTCCATAGAGGGCGCTAGTTATGCTACATTCCTATTACATTTTAGGTTCTAATTTTTTTAAGGTTAGGTTTTTTACCATTCGGGCTCCAATTTCTAATATACAATTTTATTTTATAAAAATAATTTACTCTTGTTGGAACGTCCTAATGTGGACGGATTTCGAGAAAAAAGACTTTTAATTGAACTCTTACAATATTCCGGTGTTTTATACACCCGAATATGTACAAATGACTTTTGTCAAAGTAGGCTTATGTCAAAACTTATTGATAGATGTCTCATAAACAACACGTATATTCTTAGTAATATTTTAAACTTGAATTAACTTTATATCAAAATTTTAGTGACTAATTTGTCATTACTAATTACAGTCACTAACAATCACTAAAATTTTGATATAAGGTTAATTAGAGTTTAAAATATTACTAAGAATATATGCGTTGTTTATGAGACATCCATCAATAAGTTATAACATAAGCCTACTTTGAGAAAAGTCACTTATTTTATACACCGTAATATTGTAAAAGTTCAATTAAAAGCCTTTTTTTCTCGAAAACCGTCCACATTAGGAAGTTCTAACGAGATTACATTATTTTTAGAAAATAAAATTGTACATTAGAACCTAACCTTAAAAAAAATAGAAAATGTAATAGGAATGTAGCATAACTAGCGCCAATCCAAAAAATAATTAGATCAGCGTATTTGGCGTCCTTAAAAACCCCGGAAGACCAAAGGACCGCGCACAAATCTTATGGAAATTGGGTCCCGGTCAAATTCGCTGAATTTTTGATATGTGATAGAGTTCATCATACTGGTCAATTGTCTCAATGGCCACAAAGCTCAAAAATGGATAGTTTGGCCGGTACAGAGCTTTAAAGCTCCGAATATCCTCCACGGATTTATGTATATGCGCAGTGTGTATAGACTTTTGAAATAGCCTATTTCATTTTTTTTATTATCTAGGTTTATATTTTTGAGGTTGCTGAATTCAGATCTGTTGTTAGATTTTCAAAATTGACAGTTGGCAGCTGTCAAATAGCTGTCAATGTGCTATAATAAAGCCAAAAACTTGTTTTTTTATGTTTTATCTTTCTTTTTTTTTAGTTCGATAAGTTCAAAGACGATATCAAATCAATAACAATGACTATCGGCAGCTGTCATTTAGCTGTCAACAATTCTTCAAAGTCCGGTAATAAAGTCAAAAAATTATTTTTTGTTTATAACTTCAAGTTTTTTAGATAAGTGAATATAAATATGATATAAAATTATGTAGTCATCAGCTTACAGCTGTCAACAAGCTGTCAACTAACTGTCAAAATGCAATAATAGAGCAAGTAACTTATTTTTTGTGCTTAACTTTGTGGATAAGAAATCAAACATGATATAAGTTTATGACATCACTTTTGAACTCAGTGATCTAAGCAACTTAAAGCTTTTTAAAAAAAGTAACTTTTTGACTTTATTATTGCATTTTGACAGTTAGTTGACAGCTTGTTGACAGCTGTAAGCTGATGACTACATAATTTTATATCATATTTATATTCACTTATCTAAAAAACTTGAAGTTATAAACAAAAAATAATTTTTTGACTTTATTACCGGACTTTGAAGAATTGTTGACAGCTAAATGACAGCTGCCGATAGTCATTGTTATTGATTTGATATCGTCTTTGAACTTATCGAACTAAAAAAAAAGAAAGATAAAACATAAAAAAACAAGTTTTTGGCTTTATTATAGCACATTGACAGCTATTTGACAGCTGCCAACTGTCAATTTTGAAAATCTAACAACAGATCTGAATTCAGCAACCTCAAAAATATAAACCTAGATAATAAAAAAAATGAAATAGGCTATTTCAAAAGTCTATACACACTGCGCATATACATAAATCCGTGGAGGATATTCGGAGCTTTAAAGCTCTGTACCGGCCAAACTATCCATTTTTGAGTTTTGTGGCCATTGAGACAATTGACCAGTATGATGAGCTCTATCACATATCAAAAATTCAGCGAATTTGACCGGGGCCCAATTTCCATAAGATTTGTGCGGGGTCCTTTCATAAAAATATTTCGCACTATGTGGAAATTTTCATTAAAATGTTATTTAAAAAAATTTATTTTGCCTCACTGTATCTCGAAAAGAAGAGGAGATAGACATAGAGTTCATAAGACAAAAGATTCTCATTTTTTATCATACTATCACCCTCTTTATTTACGGGAGGTCTTTCTGAAACACCCTGTATATTAATGATATTGTCGAAGGTCTAATTTAAATAAAGCTAAAGTTATAAATAAGCGTGATACCTCATTATTAAAAAGTTATTTATTTTTAAAGTAATTCACTTTATTTTTTGGATACATATAAATAATTCAACTAAAATATTTAAAATCTTTGTAGCAAACACCCTTCCTGGACAGTAACACTTACCTAGCAGAACTTTCTACAACATGACTGCTCGGTACTCCCTGTATAGCTGTGTTGAAATGATATCCTTCCAACACGGCCTCGCGATAAGAAGCAAAGACCCATCCTCATTATTTGCAACATAATTATCATCCCATTTCGTGTTTTTTACTTTCGCGAATTTCCTTGTAGTCGTCAGCGACAAAGGTCGTCGCGTCGAGCGAATGTTTACGGTAAACAAATGGAATATAACCGATAAGGCATGGCGGAACATCGTCAGAAATGTGTTTTCGTCGATTTCCTACGAGCGTGCCGATCGTTACCTCACAACACAACCGAGTTATTATTGTTTCGTAATTTTTTAAGAAATCGAAGCTCGATGTTAAACAATTAGATTAAAACGGTAATTAGAGGAGCGTTGTTGTAGAACAGGCGTAAATGTTGTTGTAAAATCGGCTACTGAACTGTTATATAAATCATCAACAAAAATAATAAGTAGTTGTTTATAAGGTGGGACACTTTTAACCCT